ACCAACAACCATCGATACGCCCAACCTCAGATCGTGAACATGGCTTGAGGAACGAGGATGTCGTTCTTGGAAGATTGCGAATCAACCTAGACCCTTAAACCCTAAGCCTTAAACCCAGCAATACTATAGTATAGCAGTATACTAAAAACAAACTCCTCATATGGATGATCATGCTAGAAACAATGAATGCCCTGGCCAGACATGCAACCCAGAGTCGGCGTGATTAGGGCCCTGTCCTTGTTATTACTACTATGACGGCGATGATGATGACGATGATGGTGATTGTCATTTCTGGTGCTACCATTATTATGCTTACGATCACTATTGTTAGTCTTGGGCTATCTTGACCCTCGAGGCCACATGTCGTTCAGATGCCCAGCAGTTCACCTGCAGTCCTTGACTTACCTTTGGTTAGTCGGGAATGGAGGAATGGGCCAAAATTATGACTACTATCACTACCATTCTTCCATTCCCTACTAACCAAAGGTAAGCCCTATGTTATAGTACCCTTATAGATCCCTTATAGTAACCATTCCTTACTAACCAAAGGTAAGTTGAGCTTCTGGCAGGAGATCGTCAAAGAATTACGCTTCGCCTTCGTCCACGACTCGGCCAGTGAGGGTTCGGTACGGGTTTAGAGTTTAGGGTTTGAGGGGTAGGGTTTAAGGTTTAGGGTTTAGAGTTTAGGGTTTTAGGGGTAGGGTTTGGCAATTTTGGCGGTCTAGGTGCGGTTTCGATGGTCACTCCATGCTTAGGCGAGCCATTGACTGCAAACGGTCAAGCATGCAAAGTTCCGGGCTTGCTTTTGCGAGCTGAAATGGACTGGATAAGGGTGCAGGTTTTTCCAAATACTTTGGTCTTGCGAGGGGTCCTTCGCAACCTAACGACATGATTCCAATGGCGGCGCTTGTCCTTTACTTTGACCATTTCTTCTGGCCTTCGATTGTGGTGCTTGTAATTGCGAGCAGAATTGCTAGTGGTATGGTGGTGGTGTGATGTGATCGGAGGGATTGACCCGTTTCCTTTCGTTTCGTATTGCTCCTGCTGGCCTACCCCAATATCGAATCATACACGGCTCCCTGGTTACCCACTCCCAAATTTGAAACTTTAGACCATGTACCCGAAGCCCTAAACCCCTAAACCCGTCTGGCCCCGAATGTTGTAAATCTCAGGATCTCTAAACCCTGAAGCCCCAAAGCTACAACAGTTCTGTAGATGCTGCACCCAAAAACCCAGCAAAATCCCAAACCGCCCCTATCACCGCCCAATAACCCGAAGCTCTAAACCATACAGCCCTGAACCCTAAACCCCCTAAGCCCTAAGCCCTAACCCTTACCGAGCCAAGGAAAAGTTCGACCGGAATGGAAATGGAAAACTAAGCTCTCAGGCCCGTCCGGGCTTGGGGTTCAGGATTTAGAAGCTTCAGTGTTGTGGGCCCGAAATACGGTTTAGGGTTTAGGGTTAGGGTTTTGGGCTCAAGCTCTAGGATTTAGGGCCTTTGGGGTATAGGATTTAGGGCAGAGGTTCTTTTTTTGGTGACTTTGGGTTCGGGGTTCAGGATTTAGGTTCAGAGTTATGGGGTCAGGGGTTTAACAACTTTTAGGGTTTAGAGCTTTGGGTTTAGGATTAGTTACAGAGCTTTGGGTTTAAAGGGTAGGGTTTAGGGTTTCGAGTTGGCGTGTAGCGGGTAGCGTTTGCCGTCTCAGGAGTTGAATTTCAGAGTTTGGGGCTAGTTGTCGTGTTTGGGGTTTTAGTCCAGCCTGTAGAGTTCGGCTAGTAGGGTTGGCAGCTCAGGTTTCATGAGCTAAAGCCTAATAGCTTAGCCTTAATCTCCAAACGGAAAGAAATCAGGACTTCTTCCGGGATGTGGCATTGCAGCTTTCAATTAAAGTTTTTAGGGTTTAGCGGCTATAGGGTTCAAGACTGAAGTTTAAGTTTTAAGCGCCTTCACCCGACACACCTGGCGAGGAAATCTCCATGATGCTGAAAGACAGCAGCCTCGACATCTCAGATGCTGACATCGAGGCTGAGGGATTTTGGGTTTAGGGATTTTGGGGTTTTGGATTTTAGAGAAATAGGGTGTAGGGCCGTGTAGGGTTTAGGGATTAAGGATTTAGGATTTAGAGTGTAGGGATTCTGGATTTTAGGGTTTAGGGCTTTAGGGAAATAGAGTGTAGGGCTTGGGGATTTAGGGTGTAGGGCTAGGTGTGTGTGTGTGTGTGTGTCTCTCCATCCAGATATTCCTGCACATGCGCATATGGGAGTTTCCGAAAATAGGGGACCCTAACATAGCACCCGACATAGTAGGATCCCCAGTATAAGGACCCCAACATCAGGTACCCCCTAATTTTCGGACAAGACTTCCCGAGCTGATGCAAGTCTCAGCAGCTCCAAGCCCAGACTTCGACAACCCCAAACCGGCGTGAACAAACTCTGAGACCCAAAGCCCCAAACCCAAACCCTTGAAACCTACTACTCCAAAACAGGGTCACAGATCCACTGCAAAAATTACACAAACCCAAAGTTAGGGTTTAGGGACTAGGGTTTAGTTGCTGTTGGGTACGGTTGAGGTCTGGGAAATAGTTGTGGTCTGTACTATTTCCAGCAATATGTTCTCAGCACAAGAAGCCTCAGCTGCAACCACCCTACAGGGCCCTGAGCAAAACGTTTCTTGCCATTCCTGCGAAGGCTTTTGTGCATGAGGCGGACGTGGCAGCTTGGCTTGATCTCTGGTTGCCCCGTGCTATCAATTAAATTGCTGGGAACGGCAGCAGCGACAACAACCGCTACGAAGTTGGCAGCAGCAACAACTACAACAATCACAGCCACCAGAAAGCTGACAAGTGACAGGCAGCAACAGTGGGAGCAACGGCAACGGAACGGGTGCCAAGGTATTCGTAGTGCTTAGTACTACTGCTACTGGTACTGCTAGTGGTACCGCGAGAACCTACTACTAGGACTACTAGAGGTACCTGTAGTACTCGTACTACAAGGAGTACTGGTAGTACTGCAGTACCTATAAGTACTACTGGCGCTACTAGCATTGCTAGCAGTACTACGCGTGCTACTTACTTGTAATACCAGCCGCGGCAATATTCAGCAGTCGTGGTGGCAAAAGCATTCTGGCTTCTTGAGTTTCGAGATGAATAGTAAGCCCTAAGCCCTAAACCCTAAATCCGAAACCCTAAACCCCATCACGAGAAAGGATCTCAGCGGTGAGCTGACATTCGACGAGTTCCTCCATATCCTTCAGTCCAAGCAGAAGGCTTGAGGGTTTAGGGTTTAGGCTTCAGGGTTTAGGGTGTGGGCTTTTGGGTTTAGGCTGTTTCGGGTGTAGGGGTTTAGGGTTCTTCAGTCCAGGCAGAAGGCTGCAACTGGGATTTGGCTCTGTTGGGGGTTGTAGTTTTCGGGTGCTTGATTTTTCCAGGCGTAACTCGTCCAATGATTATGGTCACTGTATTTCAGGCAAGCGGGCGTTGGCTTTGAGCGCTCCGTCTTGCTTTGTCCTGTGCACTTGCACTTCGGTCGGGTCAGGGTTTTCAATGTTTGCAGTTGTTGGTTCCATGATACGGTGCCCGCACAGACATCCAGAACCACGGTTTAGGTTTTAGGGCTGCGGGTACCTCAACCAACGGACTTCGAGCAGCGCCGGGGCATGTTTGCGCCACAGCAAAACCACAGAAGTCCGCGGCTCTCGGAACGGTTCGAGTTGAACAGTTTCATGAATGTTGTATAAAGCCTTAGACCGGTAACAACCTAAAGCCAAACAAGCCCTAGACCCTAACACAGTAACAATCTAAAGCCAAACAAGCCCTAGACCCTAACACCGTAACGGTCTAAAGCCCTAACACCCTAAACCCTACAAAGCCCGAAGCCCTGAACCCCACAACCCTGTACACGCTAAACCATAGCCTAAACCCTTGAAGCCATAAACCCGATGAACCTCCAACCCTATGAGCTGTTGTGATGAGCACCGTGAGAATGTTTGCTTTGAAGAAACCAAGAAGCCCCTCGCAGGGCCGCGATCTTTCAGCAGAGCTCGTTGAGGCTTTCAAGGTTGCGTCGGGATCAGGGAGCCTCTGAGCAGGGTTAGTATAAGAAGGTAAATATCAAGGTAATTTTCGGTGTTTTTGGATCGGTTACGAAAGCTCAGGCTTTCGACGTGCAAGCCATAAGCCCGGAATGCGGTACCATAGGTTGTTAGAAGTTGGACCCGTCTCGGGGTACGGATTCCACCAGACCCCTGGTACTGAGACATTTGAATAGAAGCGCGTAAGCCAGTAACCCGGAACTAACGACCTTCGAGCGCATGTTGCGCAACCCCAAACCCTAAACACCTTGGCCTTAATCATAAACCCTAAACCGCCCTCATATTGAAGCTCATGAGCCAGCCCTGTGAGCAGTGAACCTTGAAGTTTTGAGGAAAAGTGTCAAACTCCTGGACCCATAAACCCCAAAGCCCCTAAACCCCTAAACCCTTAACCACATGGTAGACTGTACAACTTCATATGAACACCCCTAACATAGAAGCCTAAACAAGTACCAATATTATTCCTCAGGCTTGTCCATTATAACTATACTATAAAGGAGCTCAGACCACCATTCGAAGAATTAAGGCCCCTACATTATGAGCCTTAGATCTCTCCGTGCCGGGGCCACAGTCCCAAGCAATAGATGGAGCGCTGAGCCCAAGACTCAGGGCTCAGGGTTTCGGGGTTTGGGGTTTTAGGCTTATTCAGGGGCTTTAGGGTTTAGGGTTCAGGGTTTAGGTTTTAGGGATTTAGGTGCCAAATCCTCAGCCTGCAGGCACCAAACCTAACATCGCAACATCACAACCGCGGAAGAATCCTGAACACGAAGCTGTACATATATATATATATATATATATATACATATCTGTGTGTAACTCAATCCCAGTACCCAACAAGCAGTTTGAACCCCTGCACGAAGAATGGAACTCAAGCGCCCGACCAGCATTGGAATAGCCCTCGCTCTGTGCCATGACGACCTCTGCCGCATCCCTCACGGCGCCTCTGCGGTTCCTTGCAAAGTACCATGTAGCCGCAACACGGCAGACCGTCGAGTGCATTCCAACACAGCTCGCAGATCGCGAGGCTTCCTGCCTCTTCTTCGGGACGATCCATGCCACGATCAACCACATCGCCGGGGTCGACAAGCTCTGGCGCCTGCGCCTCTCCGGACAGAGCAGCGTTGCTTCCGAGGCCTTCGACCGGTTCTACAGGAACGACCCGAAGTCCAGCGGTGTGACGAGCGCGGAGCTCTGGCGAACCTACGAAACTGACTGGGCTCGCAGCACCGTTTTGGCAGTGGAGGCCGCGGAAGCGACGGAGGCCTTCGTCCTAGCCCAGACGGAGGAGTCGCTTCTGGAGCTCGTCGTGTACCAGCGCACGGATGGTACGGAAGTGCAGGTACAGAGAGGAGCGGCCGCGATGCACCTCTTGAACCATGCGACGCACCATCGAGGGCAGATCCATGCGGCCCTGACGGAGGCGGGCTGCCGTAGCCTCGTCCTCGACATGCCGGCGCTCCTGGGTGTGGAGAATTGCCACTTCTAGTCGAGCCTTGCTTCGTTTGAGGTCTAGTGCTGCCCTCCGTCCGTCTTTGCCCGACTCACCCTAGAGGAGATGACTCCGGGTCCGGTAAAAGGCCCGTGCTGTCGTGACTGGTCACACACACCCACACACGCGCACGCACTCGCACCTCTGCTCGTGAACTCACACGCAGAAGTTTTCTTATATGTATGTATGTACGTAGGTAGCTATGTATGAGTCTTGCATAGAGTAGAGGAGAAAACAGTACTGTACTGTATCGTATTGTATGCATGGTATGTAATGCCACATATTAGATCAGAATTATGAATCAAGTGTGAGTGTACATCTATGTATATACTAAACACAATGTAGTTGTGCAGTTCATATCTTGCACACATTCTGAAAGCATTCATCCATGCATCCACACATCCAGGCATCCATCCGAAAGCATTCATCCATGCATCCACACATCCAGGCATCCATCCGAAGCCCTAAATCCCGAATTAGAAGTCTTAAACCCAGAACCACATGTAAGCACCGAACAACTCTCAAGCCATGACCCTGTTATGCTCAACCAGAGCTCACGCTCAAGCCTCCCGCCGAACACCCAACCACCCTGCTTCCCAGGAACTAGAACCCGGCTAAAGCCACCATGAATCATTTTTGGGGGTTTAGGGTTTAGGGTTTAGGGTTTAGGGTTCGGAGGAGTTTAGGATCGTGCCCGAAACCCTTGCCTGGTACACCTGCATGATTTATCTTAGGGGTACTTAGAAAGATTTGTAAAGTTTAGGTTATTATAATCCCTAAGAGACAGCTAAAATTATGATTTTTGCTAGGGTTCTAAGTTCAGTATAGTATAACCTGTTAGAGCTCTGTAGAGACAAGCATCGAATCATGATATGGAGAGGTCTGAAGAATTAGTTAGTATCGCCACAATCCTGTTCTTGTTCATGCAGAAGTAGACGTGTATAACCACCAAAGCCAAACTCCCATCGCCGAACCGCAGATGCAGATAGATCCCGGTACATAACCTTTACCGAACCTGGAGCCTTTTTCTGAGTGCTCAAAGCCTCTGGCATCCGGCGAGCAGAAATCCGCCCCTATAAAAAGCCCAAAACGAGTACACGACATCCATGTTTCTGGAGGTTCATGGGTAGTAATGAGCGGGTTTTAGAACCAAATTTGGGGACTCTCAGCCGACACTAGTAACCCTAACTACCCATGAACCTACAAAGTATGAACACTTGTTCCTTATACAGCCCGATGCTGTACGCCCTATAGAAACACGTACACAATTGGGAGTTTGTCAAAATCTTTGTTACCTTTTTGGGTCACTATTATAGTACGGCACCTCATATTTAGGGTATCCAATTAGGGACCCTAATTTTGACAACCACCCCATTAGTAAGAGCTGTTGTTTCGCAGAGAAGTCCCCCGGGCTTGAAATCCCAGGGGCTTGTGCAAACTACAGAGGAATCGAGAACCTGAAACCCTAAACCCTAAGCCCCTCTTTAAAGTGTTAATAAAGATCTTATTAGTTAAGCCTCAACTAATCAGATCTTCATTAGTTAAGCCTTAACTAATCAGATCTTCATTCACACTTTAAAGCGGCCCTGAACGAGCGGCCCTGAACGAGGTACCCTTGAGCCCCGGACCTTATTTGTCGAAGGCCATGTCATACAACAACATAGAGCCAAGGACCCCGCAAGAAAGGGCACCATCTCACCACGTCAACTAAACTCAGTGTCGTTCCCCCCCCCCCCCCCCCCCCCCCCCCCCCCGCACCTAAAAAATCCTAAGCCTTACACCCCAAACCCGTATCAGCAGTCGGAAAAGGGCCCTCACCAAAAAAAACAAACCCGAAACCCTTAGCCCTTACTCCCTGAAGCTCGGTGCCAGGTGATCGACAAAAACCAGGATGGTGCCAAGCTCAGAGCTCTTTCCCTTATGCTCTGTAGGGTTCTGAGTTGTTGGAGTTGAGGGAATAGCGGTTTAGGGTTTCCGAGCTAGTGTTTCGCATTTGGGTTTTGGGAGCTACGGCTTCAGATCAATTATCAAGGGTTGAAGGTTTTGGGGTTTATAGGGGTTTCGGGTTTAGGATTTTTTGGGTTTAGGATGTAGGATTTAGAGCTTGGGAATTGTGGGTTAGTTATCGTCCGGGGATGGGCTTCGGTGTCATTCTTACTTATTTCTAAACCACAAACCGCTCAAATAAACTCCTAAATCCTAAAGCCGTTCCTTAGCCGATACACAGAAGTGTAAGGAGAAAGCAAGGTGAAGGCGAGGAGCCCGATAAATGGTCTTCATGGACCCAGGAAGGACACAAGCAAAAGCATAATACAGGGAGATCATTGCCAAATTGGGCTGCGGTAAAAAGGAGGCCTATATGGGATATCACTGTATCACTATCCTTACCTGTGCTTAGGTGTTTTTGGAGGCCCTAGATACTTCCATTGCATCGCCTCTCATGCCGGAAGGAAGAGGTAAATAGATTCACTACTAAAACCGCTGGCGATGCGCATCCGAGGAGTTGATCAAAGCCCAACGACTCGAGAACCTCTGCATGTGACTTCGTCACATCGACTCGAACATCCTCAAAGCCCAGACTATCTTGAGAGCCCGTCGAGCCTCATGAACATTTGTATGCACCTGTTACTACCCCAGGCACAAACCATACCAGTGAACCCCCAGCTCATTAAAGCTTACACAACCTAGCGCAGCATGAAGCAAAAAAAATCTAAATGCCAGACTGCCGTTAGAATTGATTTGGACATCCAGGCTCCAACCCTCACGCCGTAAACCATCCCCATAATCAAGATCAGCCCGCAACAGAGCCCTAAATGGAACCTTGTCCCCTGTGATAAATCCTCCATCATGGAAACCCAGAAGTAAAGCCCGTAACCGTGGGCCAAGCTACTTAGGCTTCCTGGCCGTCGACGAGCTCCGAGAAGCACTAGGCAACATGAGGATACCCATCGGCGAAGAGGAGAAGATGGGGGCTTCGAGATTTACGGGGCTTCGAGTTTAGGCGGGCTTAGGGTTTAGGGTTTGGGTTTAGTTTTTTTCGAAGGCCTTGTGGCAACTGCACTAGGGTCTAGGGCTTAGGGTTTGGGGTTTAGGGCGTTTGTGGAGTGTAGGGGTTGCGGGTTAAGTCATACTTACCCTATAGCACCCACTGCTGGCTTAGGCTTCAAGCCCTTATCCCTAAACCCTAACCCCTAAACCCTAATTCCGAGGTCTGGTTTGATTGTTTGGTTCCCCAAGATCGGACACGAAGCTCCGTAGGGGCAGGGAACCCACGAATGAAATACTAGGACTCGTTTATATGTAGGGTTATAATTGCGGGTAGCTCCATTTAGGGTATTTACAACTCTACTTACAACCTACTTACTAAGCCCCTTGCCCCTCCAAGTAGGAACAAGTAGGATCTTGTGACGTTTTGTTGTTGCTACCTAGACCTCATGAACCATCTATGAAGCCCTGTACATCCTTACATACCCCCTTGTGGAACCGAGCCGATTGTTATGAAGCGAGAGGCTGCTTCTACACCACTCGCACTGGACACACTTGCACTTTTGGTGTTGTTATTCCCACTACAGCTACCTCTCGGCGTTACTTTTCGTATTGATGTTTTCGTTGTAAGAAATGTTTCGTGATTTAGTGTAGCTGTTCTTGTCGTGGTGATTAGTAATTGGATTGTTGTCCTACTCTCGTTGGTATTCTCCGTAGGTTAGTGGTTTAGGGTTGTGATGATGAGCCGGTTGCGTAAATCCCCGCATGCTCCTTCTCGGGAGGAGCTTACCCGCATGTTCAAGAAGGCGTGCATTTTGCTTTCTCCTGCGAACCTCGAGGTGTAAACATCCTAAACCCTAAACCCTAAATCCTAAACCAGCAAAACCTCGAAAAATCCCTAAACCCCCAAACCCCCCGAGCCTCGAAATCCTAAACCACTATAGCCGCATCCCTTAACCCTCAGGTCGGTAGTTAAAGGATCATGGGACTTAGTAACTAGGGTTATAATTAGGGTATCTACACTTATAACCCCAATTAAGGTACTTATAACCTGACTTACTAAGTCTCATGATCCTTTAAGTAGTTTCTAAGCCCGAAACCGTTTCAGCCCCCGCCGTTGCCGGCCTTCCAGCTCTCGTAAGAGGTCTTGCTCAATGCAGGCCCTGCAATATCGGTGGTTGTCAAAATTATGGTCCCTTCTTGGGTCCCTATTATAATGCGGCACCTAATATATATATATATATATATATATATATATATATATATGGGGGGCCTTAATAATTAGAATAGGGTTTGGGGGCCCATTAAATATTATGATTATCACAAGGAAAAGAGTATAGGTAATTATCACCCGTATATGGTCCGCTGATTATTGTGGGGTCCGTAATCAGGAGCGCAAGTTGAGTCACTGGATGCTGTGGTGTTTCTGTGTGTGTATATATGTATATATAAATACAAATATACATACACATCTGTATATATATATATATATATATATATATATTTATATACATATGTACGTGTGTGTGTGTGTGTGTGTCAGCATCTACATGTTACTCCCGCCAGGTGCTCGAACCCTTTCGCGCAGTTAAGGGTTTTGACTCCTGGCAAGGCGGTTTGGCCCACCCATCCTGCGCAGCAAGCAGACTACTTGGAGGTTCATGGGACTTAGTAACTTAGTAAGTACAGTTATAAGAAATTACTGTATTTGGGGTTATAAGTACATATAAGTGTAGTTATCTTAGGTATAACCCTAGTTACTAAGTCCCATGAATCTCTAAGCATTCATTCACTTCAACTCTTGCGGGCCTCCATAAGGGACCCTTAAGTGAGGCATGTAGTTACTGCGTGTGGAACCCTAAGCCGCTATTGGCTTTGTTCTCGTCATTGCAAGTCATTCTTGAGCCATTGACCCTACAACCCGGGACATTCAAGCCTCGAATCACGAACCTAAACCCCTAAACCCTAAACCCCTACCTAAACCCCTACCTAAGCCCCTAAATCCTAAACCC